GTAGCGGCTTCAGGCCCTGCTGTTGTTGCAGCTCCACCTCGTGGCGCTCCTCTTGCATGCGCTGTTCCAGCGGCTGATTGCTCAAAGCCTCTTCGATGCTGCGACAAAGCCCTTTTGTGGTCTTTGCGTAACGTTCCGTAAGCTTTTGCATCTCCTCCTTGAATTGCATCCGGTACTTAGAACTTCTCATTTTGTAACCGGGATCAAGAAGCCCCTGATAACGAACCTGTCCTTGTATATCCACCACCCAGGCGTTCGCAGCCGGGTCTAGCTTGAGCCTGCTTTTTGCCGTTTTGCGAGTATACGAAAACACTGCGAGGGCTTGCTCGACTACCTTTTCGGGGATCGGAAGGTCCATTTCTACCCAAGGTTGCAGCTGTTCTAGAGCCTTATAACACTGCGCAATTCTATACGCGCAGATGCTTGCTTCCACAGCCAGCTCCGAAAGGTTTGGCACTGATCGGGAAGTTCCAAATCGCTCCAAGAGCCTTAACATTTTCTTCGCTCTGCCTTTTGCATTACATTTCTCGCGAGTAGTATGTAGTTGTTGTAACTCCTTCAGCCCGTTCTCCCGAATGAAATCCACTGTCTTCTGCCGCTCCGCCTCCACCGCGGGAGTTGCGTACACCCCACACAAAACCAACTCCTGCGTGCTGATTGTCAATAACAAGACAAGCAGAGTGCCTCTATCAGGAAAAGTTAGATGCGGCATCGTTCGCATCCCCAGAGTCATGAGGTCCCTCAACGCTTCTAATGTCTGCAAAGCCACAGATTCTCCTGTCTCCGCCGCTGGGATTTCATCCCATGTTCCCTCTTCATCGCCTTCATCCTCCTGTCCTTCTGAATCATATTCAGGGCATTCCTCCAGCCACTTGTCCTCCCATTCTGAATCGGAGAGAGCCCTTCTACCAAGAGGACCAAACAACCTCGGGAACAGGGCCTTCCGTGCACACTGAAGCACGAAAAATGCCACTGCTAAACAAACAACCGCCACCAGACCAGCACTGACGGCCAAAAGCTGAGATATTTGCCGCTGCTTCTGCCCCTCTATAAATACAGAGGATTCCAAACCTCCCAAGGGCTGCCCCACCACCACATTCAATGGGGGAAACAGGTCAGGACGCAGAGTTTCATCATGAAGCATGACAGCTGATACTGCAGCTGCGTAACTTGAAGGCGCATTGGTTGTCTCCGGCGTTCTAGCTTCAGCTCCTAGTGCAGCTGTTGCTGCAGCAAACAGAGGCATGCACCATGGGAAGCTAGGCCGACCAAACATCTCCTTCTGAATTCTGCAGGGGTGAGAAAACCCGATTGGCAGTCGCTGGTCACAGCAAGCTCTCCAAGCTGCTGCTGCTTCTGTGGAGGTGGCTCTATGTGGATCTCCAACCCAAAAAACTGAGCGATGCTCACTGCCGACGTGAGTGTACACACCGCCGCAGGCATACACTCAAGTACGTGGCTTTGAACCTCATCAAGCAAAGGTATCCAAGCTCGCTACCAATTCATACTGGAGGGCTTGCTCTGTCTGCAGACAGCAGCAACTCGTGTTGCCCTCGCGTTGCCTCCCTTGCTTACCGGAGGTAACGACAACACGACAGGAGAAAAAAACCCTGATGCCTTGCTTTGGGCATTTGCGATTTGGAACAACGTTTGTTGTTCCTAAGGAACGTGACAATCCGGAGACCGTGGGGCTAGAGGGTAGGAACTACTTGGTGGAAATCGAGACCTGGAGGTCCAGTTGAAGATAGCTGGCAGGTGAGAAGACAGCTAAGCAACGAATTTTTCAAAGTTACGTCGAAAAAGTAAATAAACAGGCTGTACTAATTTCGTACTCCCGAGCAGGAGGAAAGCCATGCTCGGAACTGTGCCGCCACCCTTACGAAATAATAAAACTGCGGCCGACAAAGAAATAAATGAAAAAATCAAGCAGTAAAGTATAAAGGTTTATATATTAGGCAGCGGGCGTCTAGATTTGCAATGAGCTCCCAGTATTGAGTCCAACGCGTGCGGCGGATTGCAGTACGGTCATCGACTGATCGCCACCACAACAAGATATTCCGGAAGTCAAGTTTCATACTAATCAACTGAGAGAACTATCCTGGCAGCTTGTAGCATGCATTCTTCTCAGCAGTTTGAAATGGGTATTGCTTGGCTTAGCACCTGGAAATCAATGTTTCTAGTGTTCGCATGTTGGAATCGTTGCATCCTTGCTGGATGGGGCAGATTCCCGTAGAGACAATAGCAAATGAAATGTTTTCCATGTATTAACTGCCTCCAAACAGGCAATAGAAAGCACTAAAATTGGAGAGTATATTATGGAAGACGCTTCCAGGGGGATTGCCATGAACTTCACCACTAGTGTAGCATGGTTTGCCAACAGTTAGCAGAGGATCCTTCACCTGGCCTTGGTAGGTTGCGTGTAAGCGAATGCAAACATTCTATAAATACATTCAGAGGTTAAGCAAACAGCAAAGGAAACGTCGTTGAAGCTTCCTTGTGTGCGCGCGTGAGACTGGCATGTATTACCAGCCACAGCGAGGTGCGCTGCAACCCCATTTCAGGCTGGCGCGATTCCTTGAAGTGTTCCCCCCCGTTCTGCAGGGTGAAGGCCAAAACGGCACACACAGATGCGTGGATGCATGGAAGCTTACAGTTACATTACATACCCGCAGTCTCTCAGGGTGGCGACCCCGCCTGCTCTCCAACAAATCCGGCGAGAAAAACCGGGCAGCACGCTTCGTCGTTGCATACATATAGCGCCTCTTCACCATGCACGATATGCGATGTGATCCACGATTATTATGCAGTACGTGCCGGAAAAAAACGCACACACCTGAACGTGTTCTTCATCAGTGATGATTTATTCTTATTATTTGAATGCCCACTATAATAGACACTGTAAGAAGTTACAGAGCTACACAGCCGCAGAACTCGAATTCACGCTAATGGAACTAAAGTATTGGCCAATAAGCTTCAAGGAGTCACCAATGCACGCTGGCTTTCCCGCTATCATCCCGAAGGATTCATTCTGCGCACTCACCGGTGTGCGGTGTTAACGCAGAGGCTAGTGAGGCTCCCTGGCTCCCTCTGAGCGTTGACATGCTGCAATCAACTTCCAGAAACATCTCAGAGCTCGTGCGAGGGGGAGTTGGGTGCAAAGGTGGAACTCGTTGGTGCCCCTTTTGCCCGTGCCGCCATTGCTCAGACCGTTCAGACCAGCATCGCCCACTGCTGGTGGGCAACGCTTCAGCAACCAACAGGAAGACGAGATTAAAACGTTTCCTTCTGGTGCGAATAGTTCGAGAATATGCCTTCTTCGGCACCCTCACACTCAGTTGGCCAAAAGGCTGCACGAGAAACATACAAAGATACAGGTGTCCACCAACCTCCAGAGAATCCTTGGGTGGTGTGAAAACGCGTTGTGAAATTTCCGAAGCCAGAGAATGAAAGGCATGTCCGAAAAAGCAGGAGAGTCAGCCCTTCAGTAGGCTGAAGATGCCGCCAGGGTGTAGAAGAATGTCCAGGAAGTGGTTAGAAAGGCGTAGGACGATATTGGAGATGAGAAACGCTGTCAGGCACAGGCAATGATTCTAAAAAAAAAACGTCTTTAAGCACCCACCCTGTGTAGGCATATCCGGTAGATGGAGCAAGGCAAAATGGCTTTGCGCAGCCGCCATCTCGGGATTGCATATGCACCCTGCATTGAGTAACCCAAGGCATACCAAGGACTATGCCGCAATGGACTAGTCCAACGTAGAAGTATCATGTCATGGCAGTCCGACCTACTTCTCAATTACGCTTCCATTTTACGCCCATAGTTCTGCCGATTCACTCGTCTTGTTTGCCATCTGCGAAGTTTCGTCGCAGATACTGCGCCAACAAATAAAGGAAAAGGTTGCACTTCCTTGCCGTAGCTTCGGATATAAGGTCCACTTTGCAGCCCGCACCAAGTAGACCTACCTGATCGTTTTGCTTGCTCCCCTGGTGCCGCCGTTCGGAGTGTAGCTTCTTTAGTTCCTTTGCCCTTTTCATGCGTTTTCACCCTTGAACAGTGGCAATCCTTATTGCAGAAGAGGCAAATAACCGCTTGGTACGTCCCGTGGCTTTCTTGGTGTCAAATTTGCTGTCTGATGTCGGATACCGCATCCTATCCTTTTTTCTTCGGCGCTGGCGTTCAAAGCCCCTGTATCCACAGTGTTGATATTTGGGTCATTTCCAAATTCGTTTTCTTCCTTCGTAGCGACGGCGGTGGAGGTGTGTCTTCTTGCCTCTCTGATGCGTAGGTACTGTACAACTTCAGCCAGTTCAACATCTTCACCCCTTATTTCTCTCTTTGCCACCTAGACGGTTACCGACTTCCTTCTTCCGGGGAAAACCCTGGTATGAGCCATTGTTAGAGGCTTTCTGCGGCTATTGGTCTTTGTTTCACACAGGGCTGATGCTTCACCATGTAGCGCTCCGTCGGCAGCTTCCCTTCTCTAAGCTTTCTCATTTCTGCCGTAGTATGTTCCCATGACAGATTGTGCAAAAGCATACGGCGGAACCCATGTCGCAAGGTTTGAGAACTTTGGGCTTTCTCGAGACCGCTCGTAGCATTGCTTAGACGTTATGGGCGTCGTTGTGCGTCCGCTTCTAGTAGAGGGAGTGTCAGCAGCAACTGCCGGGCTTCGGATGCATTTTGAAGACTAAGGAACAGAGCAAGAGAGCCAAAGGATCCCTCCACTGCCTCCGCATCGCGACACCCGTCATATTTGGACGGCTAGAAAGGGCAGAAGTATACTTCATATTCTTAGCGAAAAGGCAATCGCCGCCGGGTGTGATGCATGCACTGCCATTATGTCAACGTGATAGGCATTAGTGAAGTAACCGAAGGCTAGGTAACGAAGAACAGGTCCTGACCTACCGCCACCATTCAGGAGGAGAAAGGGGCTGAGCTCTTGACACAGGTTTTTAAACAACGTCTAATTTAGACTTCTTCCCTTCCCCCGCGCCCCCCCTCCCGCCCACTTCCGTTCCCCTTACTACTCATTGATATACACCAGGCCTTCCTGCCGGTGGGGGGGATTCACCGCTTGCATCTGCCGTACAGAGAATGCGGCGCTACCAAGGAGAGCCCTCGATATTATTCAAGGGACGTCGCGAGCTAAAACAAGCTACAACGTTTGGATGAAGCAGAAATATGTCTTTATTTTGCGTCATTGGCTCTTCAGCCTGAAATGCAGTTCTTTCGGTAGTTGGCCTGTAACGCTAGTTCTCTGGCCTTTACCTGACCAGAGACGAGCCGCAATGAAGGCAAAGACTTAAAGCA